AGGTGGAGAACCTGGAGAGGGGGAATGTCTGGGAAGGCAGCACCCCAAAGGTGAGAGTCAGAGGAGAAGGGACCCTTGGGACCCCCAACACTCCCAGCATCCCTAAGAGGGACCCCCAACATCCCAGACAGGGGAGACCCTTTGAACCCCAGAGGGGACACACCAGAGAGGGGGAACTTGTGGGAGAGATTTTTGGACTGAATTCTCATATTTTGGTGTCTTTTTTGGCTAAATCCCAACTTTCTGAAGTTTGGGGGACAGGGCTTGTTTTGCTATTTCAAGAAGGTTTTTTTGCCTGAATCTTGGTGGATTACTTTTTCTGGGCTGAATTGTGATGTTTTGGCTGTTTTTATGGTCCCAGGATGTCTGAGGAGTTCTAGAGATGGACTTGGGCAGGAGGAACCCCCAAGGCAACCTCCTCAGCCCTTGTTTCCCCCCAGCAGGATTTGTCATTCCCAAGGCTTGGGCGAATGGAGGAGGAGGAGGCTGCGGGGAAGCTGCCGGGGGCCCCCCAGGCAGATGAGGAGGAAGTCAGTGAACCTTTGACCCTGTCTTGTGGTGCATCTGTTGAGCAGCCTCCCAGCAGGGAGAAGCCCTTCAGGTGCTTGGAATGTGGGAAGAGCTTCAGGCAGAGCTACCACCTCCTCAGGCACCAGCACATCCACACTGGGGAACGGCCCTACACATGTAGGGAATGTGGGAAGAGCTTCAGGAACAGCTCCAACCTGGTACACCACCAGCTCATCCACACTGGGGAATGGCCCTACACGTGTGGGGAATGTGGGAAGAACTTTAGGAAGAGGTCCAAGCTCCACAGCCACCAGCTCATCCACACTGGGGAACAGCCGTACTTGTGTGGGGAATGTGGGAAGAGGTTCAGGAACAGCTCCAACCTGCTCCAACACCAGCGCATCCACACTGGAGAACGGCCCTACATGTGTAGGGAATGTGGCAAGAGCTTCAGGGACAGCTCCAACCTCTGCAACCACCAGCGCATCCACACTGGGGAACGGCCCTACAAGTGCTTGCAATGTGGGAAGAGGTTTCAGCGCAGCTCAGATCTCCTCGTGCACCAGCGGATACACACAGACGAGAGGCCCTTCCGCTGCACCGACTGCGGGAAGAGCTTTAAACACAACTCCACCCTGGTCAACCACCGGCGCCTCCACACCGGGGAGAGACCCTACAAGTGTGGGGAGTGTGGGAAGACCTTCACCCACAGCTCTGCCTTGACCAAACACCAACGAACCCACCAGTAAGAGAAGCCCCACGAGTGCCTTGACTGTGGGAAGAGCTTCGGCCGCTGCTTCCACCCTGAATGACCCCCCTGATGGTGAGGCAACGCCTGGAGTCCAGTGACTGTCAGTCCATCCCTTTCTACCAGAAAGGGCCAGTCCCCTTTGCCAGGGGCAGGTTGTGCCAACAGAACCCTTCTTGGGGGGTGTGTGGAGATTCCTGCTTTGGCCGGGACCCCCCAAGGTCAGTGTTGGAGGTTGAGAGCAGAGATCTCCCCACGAACATTGGTCTGGGGGAGTTCCATCCCTCTCTAATTCATAATTCTTGCCTTGATGCCATCTTGAGTAGAATTGCTTCATCAATTGCTTTAGTGTAGAGCACTGTCCTATTTTATGCTGTACTACTGGTAGTTTTAGTGT